GCTGGACTATGAAGGGTTTGCACCCGAGCTGCGGATCGGGATCAAATAATTAATTTCTTTTAATTCGACAACAACTTGCACTTATATAGCATTCTCCACACAGGGTAGTGTCTCAGAGCATGACTCCGAGCCGGGAGGGGAGGGGTGACCGTAAGCACTGTCGAAAAGGAAGGTTTTCAGGCAGGATTTGAAAAAGGGGATCGAGGGAGCAAGGAGGCGGAGAGGATTCCACAGTTTCAGGGCATAGTGGCTGAAAGTGCAACTTCCAGTGGTGGAGTAGAGGGTGCAAAGGACAAGCAGGAGGCCGGTGCAGACCCGAATTCTGTTTGAATGAGTATATATCTTCAGTGAATAAGAGTCGTTGCATTTTGATAACCATTAGTTGTTACATAAGGTTACAGGAAACAGAAAACAAAGTTGAGCAGATATAAAAATGTAAAATTATGCCATTAAAATGTTCAGAATGCTGTAACCACCACCCCCCCACCCCTGAACAACACTAAATAACACTACTGCTTTCCTTTCATCACCTCACCCATCTTATTCAACTACCTTTAGAAAACTGCCGTCCAGACTTTAGAATGTATAATTTGTACCCAATACATCACCAGGAGGACATGAAATGAAATGCCTCTTTAAAAAGTAGCAAAGTGCAGATGGAATGATACAACAGTCTCGACATTATCAGAATTATCAAAAATCTAGCTTGTGCAAACTGACACTTCTTGCCTAACGTTCTCTGAACTCAATACGAAATTTTGCAGTGCAGTTTGCTAAGTCGAAGCTTCTCTGATACCCAGATAAGAAACTATCTCTACTTAAGGATCTTTCAAAGTACAGTACTTGCTTTTCTGTTTGCAATCAAAGCAATATTGCTAAACACAACTTAGATTAAGAAGGAAAGTAACTGTAGTACTCTCACACAGGAAGAAACTGTACAATTTTCTCTGGGGAAACTGGTCAAATTTTTCCTGAAGCTTATTTAGGGAATTTAAACTAGTATTAATTACTACTACTGATAAACCTTGAGCCAAAAGTGTCAAAACATCTCAAAGGATTACACAGGGAATTGTTGTAAAATGTAGGCCAAATTCAGCAGCTAATTTATGACAACAATATCCCACAAATAGCCATGAAGTGAATGACCAATTGTATTTGGAAGAATTTTGGCCAGAATATCAGGTGAAATTCTCATCTCTTTTCGAATAACGTCATGGGATCTTTAATGCCCACCTGAACAGGCAGATGGGACCTCAGTTTATCATCTCATCTGAAGGACAGTGTTTACGACAACACAATACAACTCCAGAGCTTGAGCCGAATGGACATCAAGTAGAGAAACAATGTGAGCAAATGTATGCTCCGGGCAAGAATAATTAAACATTCACCTATGAAATGCAGGTGAATATTCTCCTGCCTGCAAGGCTTCACTGTGAACAAGTAAAACGGGCAAGCCATTAGTAAGATACAAATTTATTATAAATAACTAGCTGTCGGCAGGACAAAAATCTATAAAGTGCACTGAGCCATTTATTTTATGTGAAAACCATGGTCTTAATAATAATCCTTGCATTTGGTATTGCACCTTATCACGTTGGGAAAATCTCTCAAAGCGCTTCGTAGGATTTACTGTGAAATGGAGTGACTGTATATTTGTCAGCAAACGTGGCAGCACAATCGTCTAAATGCAAACGGCATTTTACATTTTTCGCACAGAACTGTTCATTTGAGCATTTACTTTTTAATTCATAAACCTTTTTAATTCATAAATCCTTGCCATAAAATAGATGGGAAAAAAGTAAATGCATTTAATTATTTCTAGAACAGATAATATTTCTCTGCTTCGGGACAAGGAATATTGTTAATAAGTACAGTAAATATTGCTCAGTTATTAGAGCATAATCTAACTTAAAATCAAATAATTAATGAGTGTATGATTACACTATCAGGCTGAATTTCTAGAGTAAATGTACAATATTAGATTTTTTAAAGGAAAAGTGTAGTGGATAAAAGTGGTCCAAATGTTTTGCCTTTGATTTAAAGTGCTCCAAGACGCTACCCCGTGTGAAGGGCACTATGTAAACGCAAGTTGTTGTTAAGATAATAATTTATTATTTATTATGATAAACTTTGTTTCAATTTATTTGTGAGGAAACATCCGTAGGTTAGGTTAGCTAATACTCAATCAAATCATGAAAAATGTAGTTTTAACCCTGAAATTTACCACCACTGGAAATATCAGTTACATTGCAAATGGAATCAGAAGACATTTCCTAAAATCACAGTAATGTTACTAGCCTTTTTGGACCGATACTGTATATTAGTTGAGAATCAGAACATTCCAAGAGCACAGGTCGCAGTATTTTTCAGCTTGTTAATTTTATAATAATTGCCAGATGACACTGATCCAACACTCTTAAGCTTTGATCTCACCATATTTTGACCTCAGAACCTACTTTACTGATTATATGGCAGTTAAGTGTTCAATTTCCATTGATTAAATCAAATGGAACTCATCTTCTAATGAAATCAAATGTTGAATCCTATAAGCATTAGATTGTTTTTAAAAAAATGCTAAAAGGGAATCATAGAATACAACTTGAATTTGCTCAGTTTAGAAACAAGCATTAGGGATACAATTCAATGACACAATATTTAATCCATCTTAATAATGCTTGCATTTTATAAAGCTTCTTACCACGTCTTCGAGACATCTCAAAGCACTTCACAGTACTGTAAAGTGAATTGACTGTATATTTTATGGTCGAAACGCAGCAGACAACTGTGCACAGCAGTGTCCAACAAACAGTCATGGTCTGAAGTGACTGAATTTTTATCATTTTTTTGAAGGAATTATTACCCATGGAAAAGCGATGCACCAATCGACTAACAACCGGTTTCCTACTTATTGCTAGATAAGAGCTGTATGGAGTAAGGAAACTTGTCCAACATTTCGCCCTGCCGGGAATCGAACCCAGGTCTCTCGCTTGCGAGGCGAGTGCTCTAACCACTGAACTATAGGACTCCACATACCTGTCATAGGAAGTCAGTTATGATTACAGCAATGGGGGTCAATCTTTTTGGTCAGCCAACCAAATAAATGTTCTTGATTGAATATTTCTTGATTTATGGCCGAGCTGTAGGCATCTCCGCTCGGTAGCTACTGGAAACAAGGCACTGATTTGGAATGGACTCACTTGGACTGCGGCGAATGTTCGACTGGCTACTTCTTGATGTTACGGCCATGGGTTGTCCACCACTGGGGATATAATGCATTTTTTTTTACTGTCATGGGAAGATAACTCCAGCGCCTTGGGATGTCCTCCCAACGTGAAAGGGGCTATACAAATGTAATGTGTTGCTGTTGCTAATCAACATGGAGTCCTGTAGCTCAGTGGTTAGAACAATCGCTTTGCAAGTGAGAGACCCGAGTTCAATTCTAGGCAGAGGGCGAAACCTTGGGCAAGTTTCCTTACTCCACACAGAGCCTAATAATAATCCCTCCAAAACAAAAAAAACAATAATAAATTGGTCATTTTCAATCTACGACTGTTTGTGGGACGTTGCTGTGCGCAATTGGCTGCCGCGTTTGCCCAGTCAATTCACTTTACAGTATAGTCTGTGAAGCGCTTTGGGACATCTAGAAGACGTGAAAAGCGCTATATCAAATGCAAGGATTATTATTATTATTATAACATCAGTGACAGACAACCAATACGTGTGTGCCGAGGTAAATAACCTTTGCAATTGATATAACTCCCTATCATGTCACTGAAATATCTTAAAGAGCTTCAGAGTATAACAACAACAACTTTGATTTATATAGTGCCCTCCACACCAGACAGCGTCTCAGAGCGCTTCACAGTAACGGATCCCGGGACCGAGCCAGATTTTTATATATTTATATATAAATGATAATACTTGCATTTGATACAGCGCCTTATCATGTCGTTGAGACGTCTCAACAGAACATACTGTGAAGTGCAGTGACTGTGTATTTTGTGTGCGCAACACGGCAGCCAATTGCGCACAGCAGAATCCCACAAACAGTCGCGGATATACTGTAAAGAGAATTGACTGTGTATTTTATGGTGTATGAAAGCCCAAATCCCTCCCTCTGTTAACTCCCAATGTGGGCACTCCACTATACCAAATCCTTCACTGCTAATGCAAAGTGTTTGGGGGTGGGGGGGGGGGTTCAGCAAACGAGAGAGAGTGCCAGAGCAAAAAATTGCAAACAAACCAACCCCACCCCCACCCTCACACCACTCTTTCAGTTCTGGTCGAGAAACAAAAAGGGAAACAAACAAACAAACAAACAGACAGAGAGACAGAGACAGACGGTAGTTTGATTCCAAACAACTCTTTAGGGCTGAACAACGTTATTTTTTTTGAGGAGATGGAGGTGAAGGAGGGGGGGGGGGGGGGGGGGGGAGAGAGAGGGGGGGGAAAAGGAAGCAAAAAAACTTTTCAAAAAAAACAAAATAAAAGTGTGGGTGTCAAGTGACGTTCTCGGTCTCCGGATACGGTAGTAAAGGCGAGAAACAAAGGGAAAAGGAGGGGAGGGAGAGGGTGTGGGGGGACGGGGACGGGAACAAATGCAAAGGAAATGCAAATACTGTATTTGAGCACAGGATTGTGAACGCACTGCGTTGAGAGAGAGAGAGCACAACCCCCGGCACAGTGACCGCTCCTTCGGGGGTGTGTGGGGTGTGTGTGTGGGGGGGGGGGGGGGGGGGGGGGGTGAGAGAGAGAGAGAGAAGCTCCGACTTGAGTCAGGTCTGTACTAACGCCCAGAGGCTCGAGTGCCCGGACACTTCCTCCTGCAGTGCCATAGTTACAGCCCAGCAAGGCCGCAGCTACTCTCCACACCCACACCCCCGGTGCAGCAGTAACACCAGCGCCGCCCTTGCCCTGGTCCTGCTCGCAAAGCCGGGCTCCTTCTCCTCCCTCCCTCCCTCCGCCACCCACCCAACCAACCACCCGCCGCCGACTCCTACCGCTTAAACCGTCCCAGTCCAGTCAAGTGGAATCGAGCGGCCGAGGCCTTTCTCGCGCTTTCTTCGCCACCAACTGTCAGGTGTGAAGCTCGCGCTCCGCACCCGTTCCCGCTGCTATGAGGGGGCGGGGCCGGGCGGGGGGTGGCGGTGGGGGTGGCGGGGGGGGGGAGGGCGGTGGTGTAGTGGGTGTGGACTGACCGCCAGCGCCAATCACAGCCGCCACCGACGCAGCCTTCGCGGCTCATTGGTCCGCCTGTTCGAACAGGCGGCACCAACGGCCAATCGGCAGCGTCGACGGGCCAAGGTGGGCGGCGACCTGCCGGGGCCGGCCGTTTCCGGTCCGCCATCGGGCCTGTCAATCAATCGGGGCGGGGCCCAACCAACCGTCGCTCGCGCTCCGCCAACCGACTCCCAGCTCCGGGCCGACAGCGCCAATCGAGTGGGGAGAAGCATCACAACACACCGGTCCTGGCCTTCGAAACGACACGTTGGGTTTGTATCCGCGCCGCTCGGGCAGGGCGGGGCCCCGGCTCAGCTCTCCCCAATAACCGTGAGCCTCGCCTCTGATATAACACCGTATCGGCTCTACCAGACGTCTCCAAGCGCTTCGCAGAATACAACAACAACCACCACCACCACCAAATTACACTTGTAGAGCGTAATTGGTGAGGACGTCCCAAGGCACTGGACAGACAGATTCACGGACCCGAGCTGAGGGGATGGGGGGGGGTAAGCAGGGAGGTCGAAAGCACGGTTTCCCCGAGGAGGGTCTTGCAGGGGGTGAGGCGGGATGGAGTCCCAGAGGGTGGGGGCAGAGTGGCGGAAGGCCCGCCCGCCAATAGTGGGGCGAGCGAGGCGGGGGGACGTGAAGCAGCCCGGAGCCCGCTGAGCGCAGGGCACGAGCAGGATGGGAGGGGGTTAGGAGGTGGAAGAGGTCGGGGGGGGGGAGTAAGACCGTGGAGGGCTTTGAAGGTGAAGTCCAGGATCTTGAACTGTGTGAATCCTCTGTGTGACGGGAAGCCAGTGGGGTCGGGCGAGGATGGGGGTGACAGGGTCATGGAGCCTGGTGCGGGAGGGGACGCGGGCTACAGAGTTCTGGATGATCTACAGTTAACGGAGGGAGGATTTGGGGAGGTCGACAAGCAATGAGTTTGCATAGTCAAGCCTCGATGTAATGAAAGCATACATTGGAATGCATTAGAATATACAGCACAGAAAAAGGCCATTTGGCCCATCTGGTCTATGCCGGTGTTTATGCTCCACATGAGCCTCCTTCTGCCCTTACTCAACTAAGCCTTCAAGCATAACCTTCTAATCCTTTCTTCCTCAATTAACTATCTAGCTTTTCCTTAAATACATCTATGCTATTGCCTCAACAACTCCTTGTAGCATGTTCCACATTCCCACTACTCTCTGTGAAGACATTTCTTCTAACTTCACTATTTAATCTATTTGTGACTATTTTATATTGATGGCCCCTGGTTTTCATCTCCCCCACAAGTGGAAACATCTTTCCTATGTCTACTCTCTCAAAACCTTTCATCATATTGAAGACCTCTATCAGGTCACCCCTTACCCTTCTCTTCAAGAGAGAAGAGTCCAAGCATGTTCAGCCTTTCCTGATGGGTATAACCTCTCAGTTCTGGGATCATCCTTGTGAATCTTCTTTGCACCCTCTCCAGTGCCTCTACATCCCTTTGATAATGTGGGGACCAGAACTGCACACAGTATTCTAAGTGTAGTCTAACCAAGGTTCTATAGGGAAGTTATGGTAAAACTTCTCATCTTTTTTCATCTCTATCCCTCTAGAAATGAACCCCAATGCCTGGTTTGCCTTTTTTTATAGCCTTATTAACTTGCGTTGCTACTTTTAGTGAATCGTGTATGTGTACCCCTTGATCCTCTACCCTATTTAGGTTTTTATTTTCCAGGATGCATATGACTTCCTTATTCCTTCTACCAAAATGTACCACGTCACACTTTTCTGCATTGAAATGCATTTGCCATTTAAATGCCCACTCAGCAAGTTTATTAATGTCTTGCTGTAATTTGTTGCAGTCCCCCTCTGTATTAACTACTTCCCCCAATTTGTACTGCTGATTCCCGAATCCAAATCATTAATGTATATTGTGAACAACAGTGGTCCCAATACGGTTGCTTGTGAAACACCACTGCCCACCCTACCCTTTACCCCAACTCTCTTGTTTTCTGTTTTGTAGCCAGCTTGCTATCCATTCTGCTATTTTCCCCCTGACTCCACATGCTCTGACCTTATTCATTAGTCTATTATGTGGTACCTTATCGAACACCTTTTGGAAATCTAAATATATTACATCTACCACATTACCTTTGTCTATTCTTTCTACCCCTTCAAAGAATTCAATGAGGTTGGTCATGCATTACCTTCCTTGTTATATATGCGTAATAGTGCCTCCGCTATCTCGTCCCTCGATTCTTTTCATATACACGGATCCAACCCATCTGGACCAGGGGTTTTATCCTCTCTGAGTTTCGTTAGTTTTTCGATTATATCTCCCCTTTGTATCTTAAATGTATTTATAGTATTTTCAATCTCTTCTTCTACTGTCATGTCCACCCGATCCTTCTTCCTGGTGAATACTGAGACAAAGTAAGTATTTAATATTTCTGCCATTTCGCTGTTGCGTTCTGTGAGCATTTAAGAGGGTTTCAATGGCTTGCGGTGTGAGACAGTGGCAGAGCTGGGCAATGTTGCGGAGGTGGGGGAGAGCAGAGCGGGTCATGATGCAAATGTGGGATAGAAAGGATAGTTGAGGCTCAAACAAGACCCCAAGGTTCTGCACTAGCTTAGCAAGATGGAGTGTGCAACCATGGATGGTGATATTGTCAGTGCCTGAGGTGAGAAGGTGCTGACGGGAGCCAATTAGGAGGGCCATGGTCTTGTTGACATTCAGTTGAAGAAAGTTAGCTCTCATCCAGGACTTGAGGTCCAACAGACATTCTGTCAGGACAGCAGTGGTCCTGGAGTCAATGGTGGAGGCAGAGAGGTAGAGTTGGGTGTCATCCGCATACATGTGGAAGTTGACCCCATGTCTGCAGATGATGTCACCAAGAGGAAGAGGAGGTGACCAAGGACAGAGCGCTGAGGAATGCCGCACTAGACGGTCCGTGGGCCAGAGGAGAAGCTATTTGTGGAGATGAAGTGGAGGCGGTGTGAGAGGTACGATTTGAACCAGTCAAGGACAGAGCTGTGAAGGTTGAGGTGAGGGGAGAGGCGGTGGATGAGATAGAGTGGTCGACAGTGTCGAAGACAACAGGGAAGTCAAGGAGGATGAGGAGGCAGAGGGATAGAAAGTCATTTGTCACTGACTAGGATTGTTTCTGTGCTGTGGGCGGCACGGAAACCTGATTGGAGGTGTTCGTGAAGGAAGTGGCGGGAGAGGAAGGAGCAAAACTGAGAAGCAACAACTCGATCCAGGACCTTGGAGAGGAAAGGGAGGTTGGAGATGGGACGGTAATTTGGGAGTAGAGATGGGTTCAGAGAGGGTTCTTTAAGGATATAGGTGTTGACTGCGGTTTTTAATGGAGTGGGAACAGTACCAGAGGACAGGGAGAGATTTATGATGTCAGTGAGTAGAGGGGCAAGGAGCTGGGAGGTAAGGATAGGGGTAAGGATTACAGAATACACTGTAAAATTAATTGACTGGACAGCACCTTTCACATCGGGAGGGGGACATCGCAAGAATCTTATTGTAAAGTGAAGTGACTGTATTCGTCAGTTTGCCCCCACCATTGTCCCACGAGCAGCCAGGAAATGAACAGTCACTTGTATCTGGGGGATTGTTGGCCAGGACATCGGGAGAAACGTCTTTATGAGTGCCCATGGGATCTTTAACGTTCACTCAAACAGGCAGACGGGACCTTGGTTTGACATCTCATCTGATGGCCCATTTAGCTGGCCCTGGCAATTGAAACTTCATAGTCCTAGCGTTCTCACTGAATTCAAGTGTTTTCTGCTCGGTTCTGGTTAACCACAGTAGGAGCACAAACGGCACTGCCATGAGCATAATTGAATTTGAGACTATGAAAACACAATTGGAAAGGGTAATACATCCATCATCTCTAAACCCAGCACAGAAATCACAGTAAATTCCTGAAAATTCAACCCTGTCTTGTCGCTACCACTTAAATCATCATGCTGTCAATATCGCGGCCACATAGACCAGTGACTGGGAATATCTTAGTATGGAACAAGCCACGCTAAGTAAGCACTGACTTTATGAAGTGAGCCTTCAGAGTTGCTCAGTCATTTACTTCATAGTTTGTGTAATAAATCTGGATGGTGATTGGAATAAAAATCTTTGAAGAATCACTGATAAATATTCATTCTTGAAAACAGGATATCCAGTGACAGAGGATAGTTGTGAATGTGGTTTAGAGTATGTTGGTGATACAAAACCACGACAGAAAAAGATGTCTGGTGAACGTAAATGGACATGTGCAAAAAAAACCTCAAAGGATATACATTATCTATACTGGCTACTCACAGAATAAATAAACCACAATGTGGTTTGGGATAACTTCAAACTAAGCACAACCAACCATAACCTTGAGACGTCCTCTCGATGTGAACGGTGCTATACAAATGTAATTTTGTATAAGTACCAAGGAAAGTCACCTTGGAATCCCACTAAATTAAAGAATATACTGGACAGAGGCTTTTCCAAGAAAATTGTGGTGGTGGTGGGCGAAGGTGGGAGGACACCATTGGAACAAAAAATTATGTGTCATCATATCCATGAGATCGCACAGGCAAAGTGTTATCAAAAACATCCATTACACACTGTACATACTTAATAAATTAATGAATTGAAATGTGCCCAAACTGTTAGACATTGCCCATGCCATGGCCGGGACCAGTAGAAAAGTGAGGCCGCAGGTTTTCCGCCGAATCCACTATAAACCCGGTAAAAATGAAGGTTCTGGCCCTGGGCCTCTTGGCTGTTTACCCGATATCACTGTTGGCAGGGCTGCAAAGTCACTATATATATATACAGAGCATTTTGATGACCTAACAGTCACCTATACTGTTTTCAGCTCTTCACCAAATCTTGAACCTCTGTCATAAGGGAACTTAAGGC